CTGTCTTCCACTCCAGAGGAGGAGGAAGACGAAGAGGGCGAAGGATGAGCAGAGCCCCCCCCCCCCTAACGACCACTTCGCACAGCACGTCCTGTTCCTCCCCAATATGCCTTCAATAAAGGCTCACAAGCAGCAGGTGAGATAGCAGAAATGCCAATGCCACGCAATTAGAGAATCAATATATATATATATACACATAATCAAATTCTTGGCCGCACGGCCATTCCACGCGTAGTGTTAATCCGTTCACATTCGCAAGTGGGCGAGGCAGCACGCGCCAGAAAGAAGAGCTAAGAGCTAACCTGCTTCGATTTTCACTACCATAACTGAAAACTCCTGACCTTGTCCACTATCTACATTGGGTAAACGTATACTCGCCAGGTCGAGATTCCTGGAACCACCGCATGCAATACATACGTCGCAGGGGTATGTCGACCCTGGAGCAGCCCCAACGGTACAACTCGACGTGCCGTGGTTGCGATGTCGCCGCATCCTCGAACAGCCTCGTCCGCGCAGACCGTTCCAAACTGGTGGCGCACGCCAGAAGGTCAGCCCGATGCGCCCCCCAGCATCCCTGCCAAAAAAACAATATGAAGTACACTTTGGGGCACGATCTTGAATCGTGTTCGTGAGGCCCGCGAGCACTTTGCATTCTTTTTGACAGGGACGGCGGGGGTGTCAGCATATTGCCGACTGTGCGCAGGGCTACCATCCATAACAAGAAACAATCACACATTCACCTCGCGGCTAAATCTGGATAGTGCGCGGCCACCCTGCGATCACTGTCAAGTGGTTCTTGAAAGGGACGGCGGGGGTGGTGGCGTGTGGCCTGCTGTGTGCAGGCCCACCAGACACGATGATGGGCAGTGGTTTTCGACAGGGATGGTGGGGGCCGACACGTTTCCCGATGTATGCTGTCACGTGCGCAGGCACACCTGACACACTCTGCACGTGCCCCGAAGGTGGCGCACCTGGCGCGGCTGGAGTATGCGGCACACCTGGCGCACGCGGGGCACGTGGCGCATCTGGCGCACCAGGCGTGCCTGGCACGCTCGGACCCCAGGGGTGCCTGGCGCGCGTGGCGCGCCTGGCACGCGTGGCGCACCTCGCCCCAACGTCGCGCACATGGGGTCGGTCTTAGTTCCCAGTAGCTGTCCATCCAAAAGACGACCGCAGAACATGCTCAGGCTCGGGTGTTGCTTCTGTGTTGGGAGGGCGGGTGGAAGTGAGCTAGACGACTTGCTATCTAGGGGGTGTCTCGGCCCCCTCCCCCTTTCCCCTCCCCCTGGACCGGGACGGGGCGTTTCGCGAGGGGTTGGAGCGTCCAAGGTGGCCTCGGCGAGGGAGCACGCATCACTGATTTTACAACGGTTTTGGCCACTTTTTGGCTGTGGCCCCTCCTGTGATCGACCTCATCGAAGATGACCCCAAGATGGCCCCCAAGACTCCCAGAGGAGCCCCAAGACGGCCCCAAGAGGTGGCCCAGAGGCTCCAAGACCCCGTAAGAGGCTCCCAAGAAGCCCCCAAGAGGCTCCCAAGAGGCCCCCCCAAAGCCCCCCAGAGGACCACCAGAGGCACCCGAGACGCCCCAAGAGGCCCCCTGCGACTGCCAAGAGACCCCCAATACTCCCCAAGAGGACTCCAAGCAGCTCTCGACCCCCCAAGAAGCATCTGGCCTTTCTGCTCGCCCTCCTCCTCCTCCTCCTCCTCCTCCTCATCCGCCTAGTCCTCCTCCTTCCTCCTCCTCCTCCCCTCTTCCTACTCCTTCCTCTCCTTCAGCTCCTCTTCCGATTCCTCCTCCATCCTCCACCTCTTGGGGTACCACGTCTTCCACTGCCCAGCCCACCTCCGCGGTATCACGTCTTCAGCTCTTCCTCCGATTCATCCTCCACCTCTTGGAGTATCCTCTTACCCAACCCTTTCTTCCACTGCATGCTCCTCCACGTCTGTGATCATGGCAACTCGCTTGGACATCGTTTCGGCATTGGTGGCTGGGATTACGCGAACCGTTTAGAATAGGGCCACCAAACAACTAACATCGCCGACCGCTGGTAGGTTGGATCTTTGGGTCAACAACTATACGCAGATCGATCCCGAAGTCGGGCTCCATGTCTCTCTACAAATGTGTCTTTACCCCCCCGGTGGGTAAGCTGCCCCAAATGGAGCATTTACTGCGCCAGGAAAAACAGCATTGGCAGACATACCTAGGATGCCCAGACGTAGGTGCCCATTCGCCATGACCAGAGCCTGCATATACCATATACCCATGCTCCCCATGCAAACGCATCAGCATAAAACAAACAAGCACCGCAGGCACAGCGAATCCCGCATCCACACTGGGAACTAAGATAATTAGGGGATCCTGCTCGGAATATCGGTTCCAATGCACCTGAAAGAAACACGGTGTTGCCGGCCGGCATCCGTACGGCGATCCCTTCATACTCCAAGTCGAGGCCATCGCTAGAGGGTGGTTGTGACCGCTTCTGCAGAAGGCGCTGGCCTGAGCCCTCGTGGGTCTCTTCCTGACCGACCCCTTCAAGGGCGCCCTTCTGGCCGAACTCTGAGTGGGCCTCTCGCCGACCGAAACCTTCACTGGGGATTTGGACGCCCGAAATGGGTACGGAAAAAATGGGTACAATGCCCAACAGCAAATGTTAACCCAAACCAACAGCGGCCGCTGTTAGACAGGCGGCCTTCTGTCTCGCCTGGAGACGGGCCGCGGCGGCGTGGACAGCGAGTCCTGCTCAAGATGAACAGAAACTGCTGTTGGGCATTGTGCCCATTATTTCCGTACCCATCTCGTTCGTGCCGTGCCGAGGGGAGGGCGCCGTGCCGTGCTGAGGCACGCTCCGCCCTCGCGAAGGTCCGATCCACGGCCGCAACGGCCGCGCCTCTCGGGCACTCGGTGGCGCGCCCCGGGCGGGACGCGAGAGGGGCGGGCCGCCTTAGAGGAGCGACGATCAGAAGCAGGTCTCGCGCGAGACGGCGCAGCGACCCCACGCGGCGGCTTGCGCGGGCCGCCAGCGCGGCGCGCCGCACTGGGAGCGAGGGCACACACGCGCGACCTTCCGCGGGCAGCTTGCGCGCGAAGGTCGGCGCAAACGACCCCGTTTTTTGCGTCGCTCAGAGGGCGGCGGGGCTTCCCAGAAGCCCTGCGGCCTTCTGAACAGCTATCTATGTCTTCGGGGAAGGCCCAGAGCACTTCTCAGCAGGCCAGACGCCTCGCGAGGCCCTCTGAGAAGGCCCGCTCCCTCTGACCCCCCCCCTGGGCTCGCCGCCGAGGTTAGCTCATGGGAGGGGGGTGCAGCATCGCCCAGCGCCCCGTCGCTTGTGCAGGGGCCGACCGTCCTGGCAATCCCATGGGCCTACCACGACATTCTCTTAGAACCCCAACGTGCTCTCAGAACAAACAAATATCAGGACAAAAACCCGATGTTTTTAAACAAGGCAGTCTCAGCCATAACTGGTCCAATAACACTTCGTGCCAACCACAAAAGATTCTTGGAACATTCATGGGTGGGCCTCTATTGACAATTGACCCCATCCATCTTAGTTCTTACCTCATCTTGTCTCTTCTGTCTCTTCCAGTTCGCTTCCTTTCACTGCTTGCTCCCGCCGCCGACATTTAGGGCCCTTGAACAGCGCCGACCGGCTCCCCGAAAAGGCCGCGCCCGCCAGCCCTGCTGGGCGCCTTCCGCCGGATGGGTTTCGCGTGATTCATCCTCAAGTTGGTTGCGGAGCAGGTTGATCCAAAGGACCGTGCGACAGCTGATGACGTCAGCCTCCTTCGACGGCAGTGGGGTGAAAGCCTGCCCCATCGCCGGACCGCAGCAGTCATGGACCTCGTACGAGGAAGACCTAGACGCCTGGAAGCACAGTAGTGAACTAAAACAAGAACAACTTGGTCCTCACATAAAGTCACGTGTTTTTTTCCGCAAACGCAACTTTCCGCAACCAGGCCCGGTTGCTGGACATGGCGCGCTTGTCGTCCAATCCGAAAGATGAGACGGGAGCAACAGGTAAACTCGGATACAACTACCTTCTAGACTTTATGCAAAAAGAGAACCGCACCAAAGACGACATAGCTAAGCTTCTCCGTTTTTCTAGCTGGCTGCAGCTCCGGAGAGGAAGCTTAAATATTGAACAGTACGTGGACGATTCCATGAGGCTGATCAACGAGATTGAACACGACCAGTTCGCAAAGTTAGATGAACTTGTGAAGGCTCCCATTCTCATTATTAACGCAGAACTCACACAACAACAACTGTCGAACCTTCGTACTCGATTGGGTATCGATTTTACTTTGACGTTGCGGAGCACGAAGCAAGCTGTCCAGAAGGTTCTTGGCGAGAGTATTTTGGCTAAGTCTGCAGAGCCGTGCAGCTTCGCAGTAGACGAGTGGGCCACGAGCGGCCCCGAGTGGGCCAACGAGGAGTTTTCTTGGGCAGATGCTTCCTGGCAGGAGCAGGAGGAGTGGTCCGAAGACGCCTGGTACGGCACTGCTGGTTGTCTTCGCTGTGGAGATCCACTGCGCTGGATTGCCCAATGTCCACATCCACCAAGAAACAAAAACGACACCCCTTTTAAAGGCAAAGGCTTCGGCGCCCCTGGCCGGAACGTCGTTCCAGGCCGAGGTAAGGAAGGAAAATGGGGTCCAAGCAAAGGCAAAGGCAAAAACTCGCCCACGCCAGGTTTCCAGGCAGGTAAGCCAAGCGGAAAGGCAAGCTACAACGGTGGGGAACCTAGCTCTAGCAAAAGAAAGGTGCCGCAAAAACGGCCGCCCAACAATGGAAAACAACGGTTTGCGTTCACAGCTGACGAGTGGTCTGACGTCCCTGACTGGAGCGCCAGCCCATCCACGCACGAAGACCTGGATGCGCAACTTGCGTGGTCTTCTGCGGCGGAACATTCTGACGACGAAACTCTTAAAAACCCACCGCCGCACCCCCCGCAAAAGAGGGAACTGCCAAGAATACCGGCAGAACGCGCGCAACAACTAC